AAAGAAACGACATGGAGATGAAGTAGGAAAGCATAATAAACTAATCAATAAAACAAAGGGGGTCCAAAAAGAAGACTTCTCTAGTGTCACAGAAGATACTTGTCTCCCCAAAAGTCTTGAAAGAAAGAGTAGAAGAGAAAACTATGAAGAACAAAGGAAGGATCTTCAAAGGACAACTTCTTCGATGGCAAGAGAGCTTCGGCGAGGTGGAGCTAGGAGAGCTGAGAGGCTTATCGAGGTGGTTGCAGGAGGCTGTCGAAATTAGGGTGAAGAGGCAGTAGGGTTTCACCACTTTGTCTCGGTATTTATAGGCTTGCAAAATCGTCATTTCCCATGAATTAGGTTTAAGTGATGGCTTGAGTTTCTGGACCGGGTGCAGAGGTGAGTGACCGGTGGGATGTGTGAAGGATAGCCTAGACACGGGCTTCATGACCGGTGCTGCTTGGAGGCTGTTTGGCCGGTCTGGACATGTCTTCACTCCTCTGCGCATAACTTCCGAATGGCTGTATAGTTTGCACTTATTCCACTTCGTGGGAAATGTTGAATCTTATAGCTATCCATAGCCACCAAGATCTCTGGATTTGGTAATCGGAAAGACCTCGGACGGATGTCATACTTCTGAAGTATAGAAACTGTCTTGAAACGGAATTTGATCGACTTTTACTCCTTTTTGCTTGAAAATTCATTATTCTTCTTTGAAGCATAAATACTTGGAAACGTCCTTGAAATCTCCAATATCTCTTGTTTTCTCCACGAAAACCCTAAATAAACATAGTAAAAATGGGATAAAATACAATGTTATCATCCATTACCGGATTTCTCGTGCCTAATGCACTTCTAACATATACTTATAAATATTGATACACTCAACGAACAAATACGGTTACATTAAACTTTCATAATGTTTCCAAATTCCAAAAATACACTTTAACTAAAACAAAATTCCAAAAATAGTTGAAAAGTCCAGTTATTTTTAAAACATTAAATCAAAATTCACTATTAAAGATACTAATGAGTTTGTATCTAAAAACCCAAAAAATTACATAAAAAGCCCTGCAGAAAATATTTATGGTAAAAAGACTTGACAAAATTTTAGTGTAAAAGACCCTTAAATATTGAGGCTCGAATTCATTGCTTTAGTGGCTTGACTTGTGGGCTAGGCCTGGGTCCGTGGAAGATTTTACTTAGATTTTTAAGGGAGAAGAAGAAGGTACGTACTTTCTTTTATTTCTTGATTGATATTAATCATATTTGTGTTTCACGAGGTGCTTGTTCTCAATAATATCTCTAATTTGTCAGTTTATCAGAAAAAAATAACTGAAAATTGTTGTCCTTTTCAGGAAGATAAAGATAAAAAGACGAGAGGTATGTCACAGCAATTTGTCTATCTTAACCCTTTTTTATAATTTCTTTTTTCTTTAGGTTGTAAATTCAGTTTTGTTTTAACAAGCTTTGAATCAGATTCTAGATGAATCTCGCTCTTCATCCCGTGACAACGTTTTTCAAGTGGCTACATTTTTCGGAACGACCTCATTGAACTTTTGAGTCCTTCCGGAGGAATATGAACAAAGACTTGATCTCTTACAGGATTTTTATGGTCGCTATGGCAGCGATTCTACTTGTGGCATTTGTAGTTGTTACTGAGTTGATCCGCAAAAACCCAAGGAACAGAAGAGAAAGCAGTCGACAGCTTAAATATGTTAAGTATGTTATTTGGCTGGGATCGTTTATTTTCCTAATCGGATACATGGCTAGCTTTTATGTTGCTAGCAGTCATCTGTTTCGAGGTATTTCCGAATGGTTAGTCCATGTTTTCGTTGGGTTTTCGGCTATTGCCGTTGTTTTTGCTACCTATAAAAAGTGAAGAATCTATGAGAGAGTGATTTTCTAATAAAAATAAAGTTATCTATTTTGATAAATGTGATCTTATATGCAATGTTGAGCATCAAATGTACACCACAATCTCCCTTATTCTAAGCATTATAAATAAACAAAGTTTGGTTAAATAAAAATATTTGAAATTTTGATACATATATTTATGGTAAGTATATTTAATATTTGTATATGTTTGGTTATTAATTTTGTTATTTTTAATTAATTACACATATTTTAAATTAATTGTATATTCAAGAACAAAGACACTTTGGATTATATTCAAGAATGGTTTTGATCCCAACACAACACGTTTTGGTCGGGCTTGGATCGGTTGATCCGACGTTTAAGAAGGATAGACAATCCACCATGCTATAGATGACGCTGGAGCAGTCGACGGAGTTTGATGGTTGTGGTGTTGGAGACATCAACGGTGGTTGTGACGGCGATCCAAAGTCGGCTGCATCCGATAGTGATGATGATACTAATAGTGTAATAGATAGAAGAACAAACGGTGGCTTCATTTTTTGTTTCGTTAGTGTTTTTTTTCTTGTTTTTCTATTAGGTTTTCTTTGTGAGCTTGAAACGTCGTTAAGAGGTTTATATATAAAAGGTGAAGTGTGGTGACACAAGATGATTTTTAAATTTTTTTTTTTTTTGAGTTTTAGAAGCACAACCGCCAAAAATAAGACGCTACTTTGAGTATCCTTGATTGCAATTGGAAACGAATATATATTGATCCAAAACCTTTTCTTGAGCAACAAGCTATTCTTATGTGAAGACCTAATTATTCCTTGGAGGTTCTTGGTGGGTATATATACAAAAGGACGAAGAAGATCAAGGTAGAGTAACTGTTATATTATCTTTTAGGTTAAGTTTGTTGATTGATTCTCAGTTAATTAGTTTATGGTCATGATTTGCAGAATCTTAAGACGTATTCATATTCTAATGGTCCGTGCAGTGCCGGTCCAACATATTTTGATACCCTAAGCAAAGCTTAAAAAGTCCTTTTTGTACATTATAAAAAATCATAAACAATAATAAAATATACATTAAACTTTCATAAAATGTTTCTAAATTCCAAAAATACACTTTGACTAAAAAAAAATTCCAAAAATAGTTGAAAAGTCCAGTTTTTTAAAAAAATTTCACATTAAATCAAAATTTCAGTATTAAAGATACTAATTAGTTTGTATCTAAAATCCCAAAAAATTTCTTAAAAGGCAGTGCAGAAAATATTTATGGTAAAAAGACTTGACAAAATTTTAGTGTAAAAGACCCTTAAATATTGAGGCTCGAATTCATTGCTTTAGTGGCTTGCCCTGTGGGCTGGGCCTGGATCCGTGGAAGGTTTTACTTGGATTTTTAAGGGAGAAGAAGAAGGTACGTACTTTCTTTTATTTCTTGACTAGGTTGTTTAGCCACGATACTCGCGGCTTGTTATATATTATGTTATATATAACTATATAAGATATATCTTTTAATTTTGATTAAATATATATTGTTTGGTATTTATTTTACTTAGCATTTTGTTTTAAATTAAAATTTAAGGTAAATAAATAAATGAGTATATTTATTTTACTTAGTTTTCTTGTTTAAATTTAAAATTTAAAATTTTACTTAGTATCTTTTAATTTTTGATTAAATATATATTGTTTGGTATTTACTTAGTTTTGAATTGAGTCTACTTAGTTTTTCTACTTAATGAAAATATTGAAAAACAAATAAATGATGTAACAAATGTTGAAAGACCATTTTATTAGTTTATTGTACATTAATAAAATAACCATTTTATGCTACATGTAAAAGCAGAATTTATTTGAGAAGTGTATGAAAACATTTTCATTTGGTAAACTTTTTTACACCTTAAATAGATGTAAGATGGAGACGGATTACATTGTAAAAGATAATTGAAAAGAGATAAATGATTACTCTATACCATTATCACTAACCTTAACAGTCTTGGGTGCAATACTCTTTGGATATTGCCTTTCTCTTTAAGACTTATGTTATTTTGAAGCATACTCAATTCTCATTTCCTTCTTCTCATCCTTAGTCTTCTTGATTATCTTTTTAATCTCACTACAAAAATATCAAACGGAGACTTCTAACGGATTGTTAACCCCCGTGAACGTCAGTTTAACGGAAATTTAACGGCATGCCCGAAATGGCCAAGTCAACGAAACTTGACCATTTTATCAAAAAGTCAAACTAAATTTTACGATTTTTCTGGCATTTCGAAAGTTCATGTTTTTTTTCGTCCCAAATTTAAAAGTTTACGCTTTTTTCGGTATTTTCCCAATATAATAATAGCAATCCAAATAAATGTTTTTACAGTTACATTTTTTTTACCGTAACTCTTCATAAATATTCTATTAATAAATTATTGCAATAGTTCAATTGAATCATTGTAGCATTCGGTTTATTTGACCAGTCATTACAACTTTTAGTTTATTTAGTTATTTAAAGTCATGTCTTTCAATAATAATCTTCATTAAAAAGTTTGAAAGATTTTAGATTATACAGAGTAAAACTCTTTCAAATGATCTGATTTCTTAAATTATTTATGCATTGGTAAAATATATATTATAACTTAGAGGATCGTTTTGTTTTAAACTTCGGAAAAATATATATTATAACTTAGATATTATTTTTCTGTACAGGTCGATTTTCCATCTTTAATTATTTAATTCCGTTTGTTAAAACTTAAAAGTCATCAAGAATAATCAAATACATGAATAAATATTTTATAATTAGTATATTTGCTAAACTAATATTTGAGAAAATAACGAGAAATATCTTTAACAGATTTATTTTTAGATCCAAGAAGCTGAAGTTTGTTGAAAACAGATATTTTCAAATCCAATGAAATAAACTCACTGATACGATTTCACTCGGCCATAAAATCAGTGATATGATTTTTCCGTTTATGAATCTTACAAAAAAAAGATATGACTCATTTTCTGTTCTTAATGCTTACAAAACAACTTAACAAATTTTCGATAAAAAAAGTGCTGTAAAAAAAAAGGGAAGTTTAGCAGCGGACAAAATAATAAATTTTTTTTCTTTGAAGGGTTAAACCATTTATAACATTCCCTTATCTCTGAGGAGTTTACCAACATGAAGTTTATAGAGTTTTGACTTTATTTGTTTCCAACATTCGATTGAGATAGTTTAATGCAAAAAAAAAAACAAAAACAATTTAGCAGTTGACTTACTAATGGAAGAGTCCAATGAAGTGAACTTTTGTGGATCTATGTCAAACCAGATTCGGATTGACCCAAAATAAAAGACTACAGTGATAATGTTAATACAAACATTTCATAAATAACCAAAAATTTAACTCGATCAAACAGAAACAACAAACTTAATCGTCACTGTTCTTTAAATCCATAAGAACCATGCATTACAAATTATTTGTCCACAATCCATAAAATAAATAAAAGAAGTTGATTCAACTTATTTAAATTTTTTTTTTAAAAAACAAAAAACAAATCTAAGCTAAAATGAAAACAAAAGAAGAAACCATCACAGCAGCTAGGAATAGTTTGGATACTGATAAAATCCCGGTACTAGATATTGATGGTGACGGTGACGGGGAAGCTGCCATCGGTGATGAAGCGGTTGCCGTGGATGATGAGACGGCCCTTAACGGTGATGAAGCAGCCTCCACCGGTGATGAGTGCCTAACTGGCGGTGGTGAGTGCCTAACTGGCGGTGGTGAGTGCCTCACCGGCGGTGGTGAGTGGCTAACCGGTGGTGGTGAGTGGCTAACCGCCGGTGATGAAGGGGTCATGGCCGGCGACTTTGCTGAAGGTGGTGAAGTCGTAGGTGGCTCTACTGGTGGAGAAACTGCATGGACAACGTTAATAAAATATATTAAATTTCAAGAGTATATAAAAACATAACATATAGACTTGAAACTTACTTGGTGTTGTTGCAACCGGAGTAGATACATCTACAAATTAATATAGCAAAACAATGAAATAAAATTCTAAATTCATATTAACTCACATTAAATAAACGAATAAATGATTATGTAACCAAAAGAGAAAAATATACCACAATGAGGATCAATGGGAACGTTGCAAATTTTAGGCATGGCAAGAGCTTTAGTATCATCTAGTACGAAACCCATTGCACGACTACTCTCTAACGCAGAGCAAAGACACTTTGGGTTATATTCAAGAACGGTTTTGATCCCAACACAACACGTTTTGGTCGGGCTTGGATCGGTTGATCCGACGGTTAAGAAGGATAGACAATCTACCATGCTGTAGATGACGCTGGAACAGTGGATGGAGTTTGATGGTTCCGGTGTTGGAGACATCACCGGTGGGTGTGACGGCGATCCAAAGTCGGATGCATGCGATAGCGATGATGATAGTAATAGTACTGCAATAGATAAAAGAACAAAAGATGGCTTCATTTTGTTTTTTGGGTTTGTGTTTATTTTGTTTTTACTTTTCTTTAGCAGCTTGAAACGTTGTTAAAGGGTTCCTTTATATACATAACGTGAAGTGTGTGTTCATTCGAGATGATTTTTTTTTTTTTTTTTGAGTTTTAGTTTGGTATATTTAAAGATTTGTTATTGATTTGGTTCTATCCATTTAGTTACATTAGATTTTGTTATATCTTTTCATTTAAACATTTGAATTTGTATAGCTTCAAAAATTCGTTAGCGAATTATCGGGATTTGAGTTAATGGAAATATAAAAAATTCATAATTTGAGATAAATAATAATAATTTATAAATTTTAGTAAACAATTACTCTTAGCCTATAGAATTTGCGAGGACTGAGGAAAATATATTTGCTTTCTCATCATTTGTCTCCTTTGTAATTTAGATATTTAAATCTTAAAAATTAACACTATTGTTTGTTGGAGAATCCCCACAAACAATAAATAGCATAAACTTGTTTAATATTCCATTATCTAGATGATATACAATTACGTATTAAGTAATTGGGAAAATTTTGTTGTATATTATGATGCAAATAGATTTAACTATTTAAATTTTTATAGAATTACTGAATAGTATTTTTAAAAATTTTATTTGCTATGTAATTATGTTCGGAAAATTGCGAAATCAAATTTCATAACGTTAACGCATCTAACTAGTAAGATGTTGTTATTGGGTCCAACTAATAAAAGCCCAAATACCTATGTTGCATGGAAACGGAAACGGAAACGCGGAAGCGAAACGTTTCGGAAACGAGAAACGATTTTTTTCTAAAATTAGGGGTTGGAAACGTTTTGGAAACGTATACACATACATATAATATTAATATATATATATATAACATTAACTTAAAACTATATTAAAAATGGTTTAAACAATACAAGTCTAAAACATCAAATATTAAATAGGTTAACTGAAATTCTAAAAGATAAATATTAAAACGTTCAAATTCAAATATTTAATTTAGACCAACATTTTCATTCTCATTTTCATTAGCTTCATCAAAGATCATATAAAACTGCATCCAAACCTGGTTTGTAGAGAGAAAGATCTTAAAACTCAGATGTTGGTACCGGATCCCGCAAGGGGTCCATTTTACATGTTGGAGAACCATCACTTTACAAAGTCCAATGAGCCCTATCTTGCAAAAGGGGGTGGTCAAACCTTGACATTAATTTGTTATTAAATTCATGAATTAATTGTCATTGTCAAAGGAATAAAGTTTGTCATTCAAGATTAGGAGTTAATTGCCAAAAATTGGAGTTATTTTGTGGAGTTAATTCTGAATTTAATGGCCAAGTAAAGACACCCTAGAAGGAAGGAAGAGGCTATAAAAGAGAAATGAAGACTCCAAGAAAGGGACACTCATAATCTTCTACACAAGATTCATCTTCTACATTTCTCACCATTATTTAGACACAAACAATGTCGTTCCTAATAATGACTAAATAGATTCTCTTTGTTGTATTCGAACTACGTTTTGGCTTGATCCCGCTTCGGGTACGTAGGGAGCTCGTCTCTCGAGTCCAGCTATACCAAAATCTATATTATTTTCTCTACAAATTTATACGATCTATTCAACCCATCTTTGTGCTTGTCTTATGAGAACTTTGTCCCATCTTTTACATGATGTTACCAACCCTGGGGGGTTCGGGTTCAACATTTGGCGCCGTCTGTGGGGACATAAAGTTTCTTGTCTTTCAAGTACGAAGTTGTGACGACGAAAGAATGAGATTTTCTCTCGAAAACATCCAAACCTCGGTGACAACAAGAAAGTGCCACCAACTCAAACTGCCTCTTTGCGAGGTGATTTCCCAGCAATTCCTCGGAGATCTTTCTGAGTTCCAACTCTTAGAAAATATGTTTACTTCGATGGAATCTAAGTGTCGAGTTCGCTCTTCACAAAAATTAGATTCCACCTCATAGAGAATTTTCCGAGTACCATCGCTCGGAAAATATATTTACTTCGGTGGAATCTAAGTGTTGAGTTTGTTCTTCACCAAATTAGATTCCACCTCGGAGATTTTTCTGAGCTTCAACTCTCAGAAAAATAAATTTACTTCGGTAAAATCTAAGTGTCGAGTTCGCTTTTCACAAAAATTAGATTCCACCTCATAGAGAATTTTCCGAGTACCATCGCTAGGAAAATATGTTTACTTGGAATCTAAGTGTTGAGTTCGCTCTTCACAAAAATTAGATTCTGCCTCACAGAGATTTTTCGAGTACCATCGCTCGGAAAATATATTTACTTCGGTGGAATCTAAGTGTTGAGTTTGTTCTTCACCAAATTAGATTCCACCTCGGATATTTTTCTGAGCTTCAACTCTCAGAAAAATAAATTTACTTCGGTAAAATCTAAGTGTTGAGTTCGCTCTTCACAAAAATTAGATTCTGCCTCATAGAGAATTTTCCGAGTACCATCGCTCGGAAAATATATTTACTTCGATGGAATCTAAGTGTTGAGTTTGTTCTTCACCAAATTAGATTCCACCTCGGAGATTTTTCTGAGCTTCAACTCTCAGAAAAATAAATTTACTTCGGTAAAATCTAAGTGTCGAGTTCGCTCTTCACAAAAATTAGATTCCACCTCATAGAGAATTTTCCGAGTACCATCGCTCGGAAAATATTTTTACTTCGATGGAATCTAAGTGTTGAGTTCGCTCTTCACAAAAATTAGATTCTGCCTCACAGAGATTTTTCGAGTACCATCGCTCGGAAATTATATTTACTTCGGTGGAATCTAAGTGTTGAGTTTGTTCTTCACCAAATTAGATTCCACCTCGGAGATTTTTCTGAGCTTCAACTCTCAGAAAAATAAATTTACTTCGGTAAAATCTAAGTGTCGAGTTCGCTCTTCACTAAATTAAATTCCACCTCGGAGATTTTTCTGAGTTCCAACTCTCAGAAAAATGAATTTACTCTGGTGAAATCTAAGTGTCGAGTTTGCTCTTCAGCTATTGCGTAAATGCGCTAAGTATAGCCTTAAGTCCCACAAAATATGGGTTACTCAAGTACAAACTGACACCTACTATGCAAAAATTTCCAACGCGAAATTCTAGTCAATGTTCAAACATTATTCTAGTTCAGTTCAAGAAAAGTAAACAGTTCTTACACTAGCTTTTCTTCGAACAAACATTTCCGAACTATCAGGATTGTTTTTGTAAGCCGAGCTCTAACCTCGCATCCAAGAGACCGAGGAAAAATTCTAATGTTTTTTCTTTAAAAAAGGCAAGTGGGTCTGATCAGCCTATCTCTCCAATAAGCTAAAGCCATTTCGGTTAGGAGAACCTTGCAAACCCTCCAGCTAAAACCGATGGTTTCCACCAAATTAAATATTTCTTCCAAAAAGAAAATTTAATACCCCCTCGGGCAAAATATTCTGACAAAGAAAATAAAGGCCCCTTGGCCAGGAAACCAAATTCTACTTTGAATTTGAATAAAAGGGCCGAGGCCGAGCTCGCACCGAACTACGTTAAAAAGCCGAGCCCGTCTCGCACCAAACTACGTTCAAAAGCCGAGCCTGCTCGCACAGAACTACATTTAAAAGCCGAGTCCGTCTCGCACTAAACTATGTTCAAAAAGCCGAGCTCGCCTCGTACCAAAATACGTTCAAAAGCCGAGCTCAATGCTCGCATTTACGCGAATAAGTCTTTAGGCAAAAACGAGTTCACCTCGCATCTAACAACAATGTTTGCATACCTAATCTACTAATCAAAGTTATTGCCGCAGGATTGTCAAGAATATTAGTTCTCCGAGCAAATCATCTTACTCGAAGAACTGGGGGGCTAATGTTGGTACCGGATCCCGCAAGGGGTCCATTTTACATGTTGGAGAACCATCACTTTACAAAGTCCAAGGAGCCCTATCTTGCAAAAGGGGGTGGTCAAACCTTGACATTAATTTGTGATTAAATTCATGAATTAATTGCCATTGTCAAAGGAATAAAGTTTGTCATTCAAGATTAGGAGTTAATTGCCAAAAATTGGAGTTATTTTGTGGAGTTAATTCTGAATTTAATGGCCAAGTAAAGACACCCTAGAAGGAAGGAAGAGGCTATAAAAGAGAAATGAAGACTCCAAGAAAGGGACACTCATAATCTTCTACACAAGATTCATCTTCTACATTTTTCACCATTATTTAGACACAAACAATGTCGTTCCTAATAATGACTAAATAGATTCTCTTTGTTGTATTCGAACTACGTTTTGGCTTGATCCCGCTTCGGGTACGTAGGCAGCTCGTCTCTCGAGTCCAGCTATACCAAAATCTATATTATTTTCTCTACAAATTTATACGATCTATTCAACCCATCTTTGTGCTTGTCTTATGAGAACTTTGTCCCATCTTTTACATGATGTTACCAACCCTGGGGGGTTCGGGTTCAACATCAGAGTCTTCCAAAATTAGTTATCTGTATTATAAATCTTAATATTTTTAATTTTTATTTATTAAGTTTCCAAAGTCAACAAAACGGATTTGTCGCGTTTCCATTTTGGAAACGTGAGTTTCCATCGTGTTTCCAAACATAGATTTTTAGGAAACGCGTTTCCGTGATGTTTTTCGTATTTCCGAAGAGTTTCCGTTTCCGAAAAGTTTCGGAAACGGAAAACGGACCTTGGAGAGAGTTTCCATGCAAAATAGCCAAATACTATTTTGTTCCTTTCCTTGTTTATACATTTCCATAAAGGTCCCATATTTATTTCTCTTTTTACTTTCCTTACCAAACTTGTAATAACGATCATCTAGGTCCCTCTCTGCTTCTTCTCGACTCTTCTTTACCAAAATCAGTTGGTCTCTCTTTCTCTCTCTCTCTCTCAGCTTCCAAAGTCTTCATCTTTCTCGACAATATCTGAACCTTGTCTGAGAATCATTTGAATAAGATCATTCTTCGTCACCGATCCACTTTCTGATGTAAGAATTTCTCGTTTTCCTTGCTTCTTACTTCTCTTCTTATGTTGTGTTTTCATGGTTCTCTCTCGGTTTGGGCAAGTTTGATTTTAGCTTCTGTGGATGATTGAACTATTGTTTATTTATACTTGTAGTTAGCTTAATGGAACAATTCAACAGTGATGAAGTCTCATATCTTGATGACAAGTCCATTAGAGCAACAAAGAATGATTCTGACTTTTCTGACTCTGATTTTGAGGATGATTTTGAAACGGTAAGCATTTCTTTGTGATGTTTTAGTAACTTTTGTGGTAGAGAATGAATGATCTTTAAGATGTCTTATGTGACAGAAGAAGATGGAGACTGATACATCAGCTCAAGAGGCAAGAAATGGTAAAGACATTCAAGGGATTCAGTGGGAAGGGTTTAAGTATACTAGAGACGAGTTTCGCGAGACTAGATTGATACAATATGAGAACTTTGTCAATATCTTAACGCCTAGCTCTCGGGAAAAGCTCGATAAGGTTAGTGTAGTACATTGAACTGACTATACTATATGTGATTTTCATCATTAGAGAATAGATACATGAAGTTTATTTTGTGGCAATCGACAGGAACATCGGAAAGTTGAGAAAGGAAAGAACTTTTATGAGTTTCAATTCAATACAAGGCTTGTCACATCCACTATTGTGCATTTTCAGGTAGAGATTTTGTATCTGCTGATTCATTACCAATGTTTTGTTGTACCTCTATGTAAAAGATGGATCTTTTTTCAAATTTAAGAGTTCATAGGCTGATCATTTGCATCATTATTGGATTAAATCAACCTTCTCCTCAGTAATGGTTAGTTGGTAGATAATTAATGCCTAGGTTAAGTGCATCTCATTTGAAAAGTCTATGAATTGCAAAATGGAAATACGGTTAGAGTATGGTTTCGATGAGCTATAACAATCTATGGGCAGGTAACTTTTGTTTAAGAAAGTGCTGACTATATTGGTCTCTGAGTGCAGTCCATGACTACCAGCATCCATGGTGATACTATCCTCTTTTCATTTTTTTTCCTTGAATTTCTTAACTTTACCCTTTCAGAAATCGAAGGCCTGCACTCAGGTTTTCTATTCACTTTAATCCTTTTTTTGCAGAGCTCTCCGCGGATGCTTGTATAGTGGTATTTATATTTTGCTTTACTAAAAGTCTTGAAAAGTTTTTTAAGTTACTTTTATCATATCAGAGCCGCATCAGGGTGACTTTATCAGCCAATATCGAACAAAAACACATAGTCTTAATTATGAAAGCAGAGTCAGGTTCATATGGACTTTAAAGTTTTAATGCACGTTCTCATGCTTAAATCTTCGTAATGTACTAATATGAATAAAGTGAGGGCTGGAACAATCATATACTCGATCGTTGTTGCATTGTACTTTGCACATATCCTGTAGTGCAGATCTGCGGTGTGTTTTTTCTAATGTGAATATGGCTTATCAACATATTGCTCAATAATTTGTGGCATTGGGGCTATTTTCCTCTAATTTCAACCTCTGATGCAGCTGGAAGTAATGTCTGAGCAGCCGGCAGCATAACGATATGGGTATGATAGGAGAATGTTTGCACCTTTAAGAGATCCCTGTAACCATTTGTCCAGATAGAGTTTTGTTTCTTACCACATCATACGGCTTTGCATGCATATAATTTGTTAAACATGAGGAGGTTTGGGTGCTTTACTCATTCATTCACTAACTTCTATGTTCCCGCATTTCATGCTGCATATTGTGTACATGGGATGATGTTTGACTCAATCTGGTTATAGATGCAACTTAATCATTTTGTGTAAAACAACAATGTCCATTTTAGTTTCTAACTTGAGTGAGTCCATTAAAATGAAAGTCCGGAAGTTAATTTGACATCAAGGCTGCCTTCTTACCTCATATTCATATACAAGGAATTCTTGTTTTCATGTTTTCTGCTTATACGGCGTGTGATTGATCCTTCATATTCTTCCTTTTACAGCTTCGGAATTTGGTATGGGCGACATCAAAGCATGATGTATATCTAATGCAAAATTATTCACTCATGCACTGGTCATCTCTTCTACAGAGAGGGAAAGAAGTAGTGAATGTCGCCAGATCAGTTACCCCCACTCAGGTGAGAGTTGTGAAAAACTATTACAAAAATATAGTTAATTCAGATTGATCTTAGTTCCTGGTTTGGTTTCTTTTTCAGAAACTACCTGGATTGTTTTCTGAGCCACTCTCCAGGGTGCAAGTTAGCAGCATGGCAGTCAAAGAAAATCTGATCCTGTTAGGAGGGTTCAACGGGGAGCTTCTCTGCAAGGTTCACATTTTCTTCGAATAGTCACTGCTTTTTGCTGCGTAGATAATATAAACCTCAAAACCATATCCTTAAACTTGTATTGCTCTTCTCTTTCTCCAGTGTGTAAACCAGCCTGGGGTTGCTTTTTGCACAAGATTGTCAACAGAAGATAATGCCATCACAAACACAGTTGATATATACCGAAGCCCAAGGTATAAAGGGCCAGAGTGTTATTAGCAATTTCTAGAGGTTTTACGTATCATCCTGAACTCGAGCTGAAGTTTCTTCTCTTCTCTTCTTATTGCAGTGGCTCCCTTAGGCTTATAACCGCAAATAATGACTGTAAAATACGGGTATTCGATGCTCAGAGCTTTACACGTGTCAGTGAATTTGCTTTTGATTGGTCTGTCAATGTGAGTTTCCAGGCTATTCTCCACTACACCCACCAACTTCTCAAGTCTCTAGCTGCCAAATTTCTCTAACTAGAAACACTCTAATAATCTCGCAGAATACCTCAGTTAACCCAGATGGAAAGCTACTCGCTGTACTCGGGGATAGTACAGAATGCTTGATCTCTGATTCACATTCTGGAAAAGTAAGTATTCTACAGCTTTATGATAACAACAAAAGCTATAAAACAACTTTTGGTTCATTCACCAAACCAGGGACTTTGGTTGATAAAAGACTCTCAACTCTGAACTAAATGCCCAAACCAAAACCTTGAAAAATCCACACCCAAAACATTCCACTAACTGCTATCTAATTAGCTCACATCAGCTCTAATCTGCTACATTCAGTCCTAGGCTAAACACAGTATAGACCTATAGCTAAGAGTGGAGCTGCTGAACTTCTTCAAAGCTTGTCACTTTTGTCTTTTTTTCTCATCCACATTCAAGTGTTATAATTGGACTTGGGGTCACGGTGCAGGTTATTTCAAGCCTCAAAGGCCACAAAGACTACTCGTTTGCATCCGCTTGGCACCCGAATGGTCTAATCTTAGCAACTGGAAACCAAGACACGACATGCCGTCTCTGGGACATTCGGAACCCATCAGAATCATTCGCTGTTCTGAAAGGAAACATGGGAGCCATCAGAGGACTGAAGTTCACACCAGAAGGACGGTTTCTTGCTATGGCTGAGCCTGCAGACTTTGTTCACATCTTCGACACGCAGTCCGGGTTTCTACAGTCCCAAGAGATTGATCTGTTTGGAGAAATAGCCGGGATCTCCTTCAGCCCCGACACAGAGGCACTATATGTTGGGGTCGCAGACCGCACCTATGGAAGCTTGATGGAGTATAAGAGGAGAAAAGATAATCACTATATGGACTCCTTTTTCTGAGAATAGGTAAATGGAAATTAAAAAGCATCTAAAAAATGTATTCACAATTCGGGTTTTACCCTTTTAGTGTGTATATGTAGACAGAAACATAATTGTATTCATTTTAGTACGAATAATTGGTATTTTATATCTGTTATGCAAGTGTAGGAATCAGTGTTTGTATGTAACCCTTGTACTCTTGTACCATAATATATCTTGCCAAACTTTATCTTTTGTTGTAAGACTTCTAAGTAAAAGTCTGGTTGTGGATCAACTTTTTTACTTTACCTATTTAATGAGGAGGTGCGTAAAGAAGTAACACTATGAATAGTATTAGCTTAGCAATCAAGGCTGCCAAAAGCAATGTGCAACTTTGTTCACCAGCCTATTAAATAAGTAACTGTTTTTACTATTTAGGGTCCGAGACTTGTAGATTATACAGGCCGTACTTGCCGTTTGCATCGTGATACGGCCTTGTGCTCGGGTTTTGAGGCTTCCCATCGAATGTCCCGAAGTAGTAAACAAAAATGGAGCTCCACATTTGTCAGCACAACATCGAAAATATACATGTATATTTCTAAACTCGTTATTAACCATATATATCATATCGTTAAAAAAATTATTCACATGTTTAGTTCAAAATCTTCACTCATAAAGTTGCAATGAATGTGGTTTGAAAGAGTGATGACATTAAGTTTTATGAGGTTGTTGGAAGGTTACCAGAGCCGTCCCCAAGATTTTGAAGGCTAGAAGCATAAAAAAAAAATTAAGACCTATTATTTGTAAATTTTTAAAAAAAATTTGGAAAACAATGAAAATAAAGGCAGGAAACTCGAACTGTGCACCTTTTTTTTTCTTAATGTAACTTGTCTTTTACCACTAGATTACTTAAAAAATTTTACAAAAAAAATGGCCGATTTTATATATAATCAAAAAACGGCCGCAAGGAGAAACTTTTTTTTGCTTGGCCTTGTCGACAGCTCTGACGGTTACAAGCCTATGTAATGGATTTATTTTCTAATGCTTGAGAATCATTACAAGGAATAATCACAAATTCAAAGAATGAAAACGAAGAAGGGTTAAAGAACTAGAAGGATCTTGAGAAAGAAGAACCGAAGAAGCTACAGACCAAACTTGTAGAACATCGGAAAAAAAAAATTGCTTGTTGAAATACAAGATTCAAAAATTTAAGTGTGAATTAAATCAATAACCTTATCTGATAACAAAAATGAAAAATATAGTACTATAACATGTAATATTAAGAAAGTAGCATATTGTCTCTGTACAATGACGTTTCTGTCCTCTGCTTCTCTGAACACGTAGTGAGAGAAAAGATGATTATATGTGTGAGCTACGGCGGAAGGGTTTTAGTGACACCTAGGCTACAAAAGTCCAATCAGTAACATAACTACAACTCAAAATTTTCGTCGGCAAAGATGAAATATTGCAAAGAGCTTTAAAATTTTGATCTCTTTCCCTGCAGAAAAATAGTAATTACGTTGAAGATAAGTTTTTACAATTACCAAGAAAAGATGATTATATGTGTGAGCTACGGCGGAAGGGTTTTAGTGACACCTAGGCTACAAAAGTCCAATCAGTAACATAACTACAACTCAGAATTTTCGTCGGCAAAGATAAAATATTGCAAAGAGCTTTAAAATTTTGATCCCGCTCTCCCTGCAGAAAAACAGTATTACGTTGAAGATAAGTTTTTACAATTACCAAGAAAAAATGGAAAGTTACAAAAAAGAAAGAAGACTCACTCAAGGGTGCGTGAACTTCACAAGAGGCTAAAATGATCAGACATACGAGAAATACATACAATATCATTGGGCATTTTTTTCATTTACTTAATTAAACTTTTTTTGTATGTTATAACTGCAATCCAAAATTTAATCAAGAGTTGAATATGGGTAAATGTAATACAATAAACTCATTACAAATTCAAAAATATTTCAAAGATATATGTTGAGAATAATCCATGCATAACCTTGAAGTTTTATACAAATTAATTTTTTAGTTCATATACTTCAATTTTAATAATAATGTCATATTTTACACATGTATACAAATTATAATCTCTTTTTCCAGTAAAGTTTGAAAATTTTATTACTAAAGCAGTTAATTGTTTCAAAAAGGGTAAACTATAATTTTATTTTGTATTAAATATATAAATAACACTCTTTGAACATAAAGAAAAATCCAACGAATTCTTATGAAACAATACGATTGTTAGCTAAAATAAAAACGTGAAATTAAGATGAAAATATGTTATTTCGTTTTTCTTTTTATTATATATATATATATATAGGCGCGGCCCGAACCAGAAGCCCAACAAGCAAGGTTTAGCAATGGTGGTTTAGCAACATGCTCGCTACCTTTAAACCCGGGTTCGAATCCCTCTAACTTTTTTTCCCAAAAACGATTTTTTTTTTTTTTTTCACTTAAAAAAAATATATAAACGAGTACTCCAATTTTTTTTGTTGAAGTAATTAAATTAAATAATTATTTACTAAACAATTTTACTTCAAAAATTAAACTTAATTTTCTTTATGGGTAACGATCACCATCAAAACTCTATCATTTCAATTTTCAACATCTGCTCAACCTTAATCTCTTACACTAGTTTTTTTTTCTAACTTCAATCTCTGTTCTTTACTCATGTATGTCTTCTTCTATTTCTCTTTTCTTTCTTATCAAGTTTGCCTATCTCTGTAGTTTCTTTTTGTTTTTGCTTGCTTATTTTTTTCTGTTCAACTCTTATAATTAAAAAAATTAGGTTTCATGTTATTTTATTATGCGAAAAAAAAATTTGGGGCAACAATTTTTAGTTTGCTCTAAGCATCAAAAATCATCGGACCGGTACTGTATATATATGTTTTTTTAATATAAATATATATATATAGTATATGTTACTTCATTACAGCAAAATGAAACTAATTCGAAACCAATTATATCTCACTTTTTAGATATCTTATGGAGTAATAACTTAACATGATGCTGAATCGTTTCAAATTTTAACATTTTTATATCAAAGATATATAGTCAAATTAATGTCACGACAGCGTCAAGCCTCCAACCAACTCACGAACGTGAACACAAAGACATTAATTGAATATTAAGAATTCAGAGAACGCAAATCTTTTTAATTTAGAATTGACGCAAGAGATCATTTGATACGGCCTACGGGAGACATAAGAATCAATGTAATTAAATGAGAATAAGAAAGTCAACCCCATCCCACGTGGACTGCAGATGAACATAAAGACTGACTCTGCATTTGAGTCGTTCCATGTACGGAGGATTACGAAAGTGTAATGGTTCCAATTAAGAAGAGTACATAAAAATATACGAATAAACGAAATAAGATAAACTTTTTCATATACGACTTGACGTTACAAAGAAAAAAAATAGAACCAATGCATACGAAGTAAGTTGAACCAATTTAGATAGGTTAAATCGTTGAATCATGATTAATGTCATGATCCAACAAAAGTCCCTCCCCACGAGTCTGGATGTGTAGTTGGTTGATTGTGTCATCTGAACTTTACGAAGTAAGTTGAACCAGATTTCTTCAACTCGGTGTTTCATTCAGTTAAAAATCTGGTAAATCTAGTTATCTTTTTTATCGGACTGCTCGCTCTTAATTAGGTTTAAGTCGGATGCTTTTTTTTTTGGTTAAAGAGGTTTAACTCGGATGCGAAAATTAATGTCAGGTTCTAGTCATTAATCCAAATTTGGTATTGATTCGGATCACCATTATTTATAGGAAAATATGTTTTTGAAAAGTTCTAAGCATTTTTACTCTCGTCCAAATTGTTTTAGAATCTCATGAATTTATTTGAAAAACATCATTTGACAAAATATTTGCATCCATATAAGAAATTTAAACTAGAATTGTTCAAATTATAATTTTTAAAGATAATTAGCGAAATCCACCAAATACATACAAATCGGATTTTAGTCCAATATTATGTAAACTATAAGACTAGAGGACGTAATACTATTTAACTAGGTTATGAGCCTCCGCGATATCGTGGGGATCGGAACTCATTTTCAACAAAATATTTCATTACAACGTTTTAGTTACGTTTATGTATTAAGTTATATATTGTGATAATGAATTTAAACTTAATTATTTTTTTACCTTTTTTATAATTTTTATAGCAATCTCTGAAATCTAAAAAATATTTATGATATAATAAAAACGTAACAAAAAAAAATGCAATGAAATATTTTGTTGAAAATGAGTTTTTTCGCGATATCGCTGGAGCTCATAACCTAGTATTATTTAAACATTCGACAAAAAATGAAACGTAGAACCTACATAGTAGATTTGTAGATCGTTGGTTCTGGAAAGAAGCTCTCACCAAATATATATTGATGATGGTTGTGGTGGTGGAATGGCCGTATTGATGATTGTGGTAGTAGTGAGGGTGTAATAATGCTCATGGTCATGAAATATGATAGTGATGATATGGACGATAAATAAAGTATGCAATGGTTTTTAAAGTTAATTTAATTTTTTTAACTAAAAGATTTTGAAGTTCAACTACTTTTAAAGGATGTTTTATTATATTTTTGAAATGACATGTGATTTTATCATAAAATATACTACTTTAGTGATGTTTCTATGCAACTGCATCGTCTAAAATCACTTTCTTCTTTTTTTTGCTAATTAATACTTATCAAATCATCTAAATTCCTTATGAATTTTGTGCAAAAACGAACACACACTATAATGTCGTTTTGCTCTACCGTAGGGACGAGTCGCAAAAATGAGCACACGATTAATAAAAAGAAATCCATCTAAATGATTGATTTGGAAAGGGCAACGTGGGATGTTAGTTAATGTGGAATCTTGTTTAATTATACACCAAATTTACATGTGGCCACCACACTCACTTAATATTATTTACCTAATAGTTTCATCTTCTCTTCAAGTCTACTCGAAGAAAGTTAGCTTTGAAGTATTTTAAATATATTAATTTGTTTTATAATAACGTTGACGCCAAATAAAAATACCATATTGTAATGTTTAAATAATTCCCTGACTAAATGTCTCGTGCTGTCATGCATTGTCTTACGTAGAAATCTATGTAGTTGTATAAGGTTCAACGTACGTACCAAATTTATTCTTACAAACTTTACTCGAATTTCGTAACTGCAAAAATTGAATTTTTCTTGCTTTTCCCAAAGAGAATAGACTAAAATATTTTTATTCAAAATAAGTTATGGAGTAAAATACATCAGCGTATATAAGATTGTAT